TCCTGTTGTCTAACAGCATCCTGAACTAAATTGACTTTGCTATTGGGAGTCTGCGTGAAATAGAAATAAAATAATTTATTCATGGCTTTATTTTAAAACTTATTGCTTTCCTTATTGTATAATAGTACATTAGCAAGAGAAGAAATTCCGAATAAATTATAGGTGTCATGAAATGTTAGGATCATTTTTGAACTTTCAGTTATTAAACTATATATCCACAACAAAATGCCAATGAAATAATTAATACTGAATAAACAGGTAAAATGATATTGATATGGTTTAGAAAACATTTTCTAGCTACCAGGTAGCAGCATATTGCTTGACTGCTCTGCAGAAATTTAGCATCCAGTTTTAATCTCTGAGGTGGAACAAGTCAGGTATGTAGGAATATATGAGCAATGAAGCTAGAAAAATACCTTAGAAACCACTGAAGATGATGGAAATATATGAAGCAATCAGAATATTTTTATCAGGTTTCCTTTCTAGAAAATATTTTATTTATACACATATTCCTTTCCTCTTTTCCCTGTACCTATCTATTTTTCCCTGAATCTGCTCTGAAATGTATCCTTATAATTAAGAACTATTTTTGGGCCTACAGAAAGAGCTAGAAGAAACAGCAGTTCCATCAATGGAAAAGATTAACTGAATAGGTTTGATGCTTTCTTTTATTTCATTACTATTTAAGAGAGAAGGATAAAATGCTATTAACTATTAGCTAGAAAAAAAAATGAAATAATATTCAGCAAGGTATTACCATACTTTTTATTGGTACTTACCATATTTTTCGGAGTATAAGACACACGTTTCCCCGCCCTAAAAGAGGCTGAAAATTTGGGTGTGTCTTATACTCCAACTGTAGGTTTTTCTAAGCTTTTTTTCAGCCCTAATGAGGCGCTAGCAAGTGAAGCGATCTTCCAAGCTTTGCCTGCTCCCTCCGACTCTCAGATGTGCTTTAAAAGCTTTTTTTCAGCCCTAATGAAGTGCTAGCGAGTGAAGTGATTTGCCTTCCGAGCTTTGCCTGCTTTTCTCATTGCTGCTCCCTCTCAGCTGTGCTTTAGCAGGGGATAAAAAGTGTGTGCGCGGGCTCAAAACCAGCAATGTGCTGAAGCTGACCAAACTAAGGACGCTAGGCAGATGAATACCTGGTAGGCAGATTTCCCCCCCCCTATTTTCCTCCCCAAAAACTAAGCTGCGTCTTATACTCTGGTGTGTCTTATACTCTGAAAAATATGCTACATCTTAGTGAAATATTTCAGCAAATAAGCTTTAGTATGTATCACATTGATTAATGAAACAGTAAGAAAAATTATATTAAATTACTGAGCAGCTTAGTGCTCTCTGGAACAGTAATGTGTGTTACAAATAACAATCCTACATCAGTATTTTATTAGTACAGTACTTTGAGGAGGTCAATAATGACATGAGGATATGTGGCCCACTGATAAAGAATTAAAACTTCCAGCACCCATATTCAACAATATTAATTACAGGTCAACAACCCTGGAGGATCATTTTCTTATTTATGTAATGGAAGGATAGTAAACAAGAAAACACTGCTTGTAGCAACTGCTCTTCCTTGGTTAATCTAGACGTTCCATAATCTTAGAACAAATAGCCCATCCCAACCTATCCAATCAGTTAACCAGAGCAAAGGGAAACAAAACAGTTAATGTCACTTAGTCCTTTCCAGTAAACTGAAATTGTTTTGTACAGCATACTCAAAAGATAGGTGATACTACATATCCTGCACAATGTGAATTGTGCTTTTACAGCTAGCAGTGGTAGGTAGCAGTGTGACTATAAATGACTTAAATATAAATGAATTTGCACTTTCAGTTTTTATGTAGCAATCAACAGCACAATTTGGTTTTGTCAAGTTATCAATTAAATTATTTTGGTAAATTTATCATTAATACTAGCTCTTCCTATGCTATGTAGCATATCAGCCATTGCTGTTCCCAAGCCCGGATGAGAAAGAACAAGGTTTAGGGATTGGGCTGGCAACCCATAAAAATTATAACCACTACAGAAACATATATACCTCCATGATATATAATGGAGATAAAGAATGAGGCAGCATATACTGCTCTGGTTTTTTGAACCAGCAAGCGAAAAACTTCGTTAAGGCAATAGATAGCTCCTTCATAAATAGTATCTTCTTAGGACCTTATTTATGGAACTCTACTGTTTCCTCTTATCACCAACTTTTTTAAAAAATATAGAAAACTGGGGGGAAAATCCACACAATCGATGTTTATTTTTACTTGCAATTATATTCAAGGAATAGGAGTATGAGTAGAGGTATCCTACTGCGACGCCTCGAGGGGTTAGGGGTGGGAGGCACTGTTTTACAGTGGTTCTCATCCTACCTCACGGGTTGTTCGCAAGCGGTGTTGGCGGGGGGACAGAGGTCGGCCCCGAGGCCCCTTATGTGTGGGGTGCCCCAGGGGTCGGTCCTCTCTCCCCTTTTGTTCAACATCTATATGAAGCCGCTGGGGGAGATCATCCATGGTTTTGGAGTGGGGTATCATCAGTATGCTGATGATACCCAACTTTTTCTATCCACCCCAAATCAGCCCAGCGATGCCCTCGACGTGATGTCCCGGTGCCTGGAAGCGGTGCGGCTCTGGATGGGGAGGAACAGGCTTCGGCTCAACCCTGCCAAGACGGAGTGGCTGTGGGTACCGGCATCTTGCTTCCATAGGGATGCTCTACCGCTGGTTATAGGGGGTGAGGTGTTGCCCCCTGTTGACAGGGTGTGCAACTTAGGCGTCCTCCTGGATTCACGGTTGTCTCTGGAAGATCATGTTATGACCATGACCACGGGGGCATTTTCCCAGATTCATCTGGTGCGCCAATTGCGCCACCTGGACCAAGATGCCCTACGCATGGTCACTCATGCGCTGGTCACCTCCCGGATTGACTACTGCAACGCTCTCTATATGGGGCTGCCCCTGAAGACCATTCGGAGGCTTCAGCTGGTGCAGAATGCGGCCGCGCGGGTAGTGATGGGAGTGTCCTGATGCTCTCATGTTACACCCCTCCTGTGCGACCTGCATTAGTTACCTGTTGCCCTCCGTGTCAGATTCAAGGTGCTGGTGATTACCTATAAAGCCCTACATGGCTTAGGACCGGGATATTTGGCAGACCTTCTGCGGCCAGCAGTAGCTCCCCATCGTCCAGTGCGTTCCCACAGAGAGGGCCTACTCGGGGTGCCATCGGCCAGACAGTGTCGGCTGGCCACCCCTAGGGAGCGAGCCTTCTCTGTGGGCGCACCTACCCTCTGGAATCAGCTCTCTCTGGAGCTCCGGATGGCCCCCGATCTTCACTCTTTTCGCCGCGAACTAAAAATGTGGCTATTTCGCCTGGCCGGCCTGGATTGATGGGTTTTTTAAAATGGATTTTAATTGATTTTAGGGATTTTATGTGTACTTTTAACCCGGAGTTTTTGTTTTATTTTTTCTGTTTTATTGTTGTGAGCCGCCCTGAGTCCTCTCGGAGAAAGGGCGGCATATAAGTCTAAACAAATAAATAAAAATAAGAGAACACTAGATAACTACATTACTAGTTACACAGAAAAAATACAAAAAGACTATTATAGTACTAATGTATTCATTGATATTAAAGCATGAAAGGAAGCAGTTAAATGAAAAGGTATTGGAATTAGAGAATAAGAAATTAAACAACTCATTGATTTACAATAGTGATGTTAGAAACAAAAAACAAAGTTAGTAGGCATGAATTTACTTTAAACTACTACTCTTTAACAGATTTAATTTTTTCAATAAAGCATTTCTTAAGCATTAAGTACTCAGTCTTACAATTTACAGATATATAATTAGTGGAAACATTCCCTCAAACTGTAGGTAATGGAACTTACATGGACAGATCATAAGTAAGATCTTATTGTACAAAATAATAATATCCTAGCAAACAATGTGCAAACACTATACCAGAGTAAGGAATATTACACCCAACTATCTATTTAATTTGGTCTTAATTGAATATCAAAGCCTCTTTGTTTGCATTTGCTAATGTGATTAGGTTTTTGAATCATGCACTTTCTACTACATATGTGATATTGCAAAAATATTTTATTTAAGTCTTTTCATGGAATGCTTACCTGCTATTGTTTAGGATCTCAAAGACTGATTTTAGTTTTAATACCTATTGTGTGATACAAGATTAGTGAATATCTCAACAGATGTATTTGTTTAGTTTAATTAATTTACTTTAAAATTCTTAAATTTATTAATAATTTATTCCTTTAATCAATTTATTCATCCATTGTTTGTACACAATTAGCAGTTACATTACAGGGGTTTAACAACTTTCAGACAGATACCACATATTTATTCCCATGAGCTCTAAAGCACCATTCAGCCTTTGAATCAATAATGCTGCAGAATCCTAGAATATGTCATAATAGATTGTTTACTCTAGGCATTCAGATTAGAAAACTGCTTTCATCTAACATATATCTGTATTCTTTATATAGTAGCTCTAAGACGATTAGAACATTTTCACGAGTTTCCTATTTCTATAGTCAAATAGTATTTTTGAAAGTTCAATAAAATACTAAAATATAATTTCACATAGTAACCCCAAATATATGCTAGTATGTTAATATCTGTATTTCTTTTAGGTTAAACAGCTTTTCTAAATATAAAAATTAGGATATAGTAATACTTTAAGGGTAGAAAAAAATCTGCAAAAATGTATAGATTATTCTCCAATATATAGTTACATTCTTAAAAAATCTATACACAGTAACTTCAATTTGAACTTGAAGTTTTCCCTTAGACATGGAAGTTAGCTGGGTGATTTTGGACAAGTCACTTTCTCAATCCACCTCACCCATTCCCACCCCACCGAGATCTTATGGAAAAATCAGGAAGCAGGAACATTCTGTATACTACCTTGAGTTACACAAGTAAAGATGAGATTTACACAAATAATTAATTTAAATTGATACTCCTTGCACATATCCATCTTACCTTCATTCATAATTATTACTGCTTCTTCTGTTATTTGACTTCCGGATCCAACTGATGTTTGTGCATAAAAATAGAACTTGTATCGAGTGCTATAATTCAGGTTGCTTAAAATCAAGCTGGTCTCATTGGCAGGAATATTGATCTCTTCCAAGTGACGTAATTCATGAGTACTATTAACTGTTGTTATATAGAATACAAAATACAATTAATTTTGTATTTAACTACTGAAGCCAAGCATTTACGTAACATGCTGAAACTTGTATTGACATACTGCATTAGCACTATTCAGAGAGTATAAATATATAAATATAATATAAAAATATATTTATATATATATTTAATTTAAATATTATATATATATATATATATATATATATATATAATTTAATTTAATATATTTAAATATATTTTAAATAACATATATTTATTAAAATATAAATATAATCCTGCTTATAATTTAGAACAATTTTTGTTTGTGAAGTTGTGCTGTAGCTTCCTGCATGTATAGATTTCAAAGGCCTACAAAGTTGTAATTTTGAAAGTAATGTGTACAGCTTACATGTTCACTTAATTAGCTTCCTAACATCTGGTTAAGAAGATGCTATTACATCTTCTTAAGATACACAATGCAGGTCAGCAGCACCAAATATAAATTCTCACTAAGCAACTTTGTGCTGTCTGCATCTTCCGCAACTTTTGTCCCCAAGGCGTAATGCATACTTTTCTCTGAAGCAGAGAAAGGTCATTGTATAGTTTTTACAAGGAAATACTGTGTTACCCCCTTTACATAATAATTTTGTAAAATTTAACAGTGTTCATTTCCAATTCTTAAAAACTGATTCATATAGAAAAGTATTAACCAATCAACCTAAAATAAAATTATCTGCCACAATGTCCTACCTGTCAATGACTACTTCAACCACAACAATACACTAGCAAATAATAGATACAAACTCAAGGTAAACCGCTCCAAACTCGATTGCAGAAAATATGATTTCAGTAACAGAGTGGTCAATGCCTGGAATGCACTACCTGACTCTGTGGTTTCTTCCCCAAACCCCCAAAACTTTAACCTTAATGTTACTAATCTCAAGGATCAGACCCAATAACAGACATAGACTCATTAATATTTAATCAGGTAGCCTTTTATTAACATTTATCTTCTCATTACAGCAATCATTAGCAAGAACATCTGGAGCAGCGTGGAGCAACCTTAAGTACCTGGGAGGCAGAGTCTGAGGTAAGGAGTGGTCTAGGGAGGAGGTGGATGTATGGATTGTGTAGATTAACCCTTGCAGTCCTAGGCCATGTTTACCTGCTTCTGTGGGTGAGGCATTTACACGTGATAAATCCCCCTCTAAATGCCTAACCTGCATGTGTGTGCTTTGCATTTGGGGAAGAGAGGAGAGGAGAACGCATAGTTTGGATACTAGGTATGCGTGTTGCTTGCCCTGCAGAGGTTTCGTTAATATATCCGCTGTTTGTTTTTCGGTGTCACAATATGTGGCTTTGATGAACCCTATTTTCGATAGTTGTCTCACATGTTTGTGCTTTATCTATCTATCTGGACCCGTGCCAGTCGGGCTTCAGGCAGGGGTACAGCACAGAAACGGCATTGGTTGCATTGGTGGATGATCTCTGGAGGGCTCGGGACAGGAGTTGCTCCTCTGTCCTAGTCCTATTAGATCTCTCAGCGGCTTTTGATATCATCGACCATGGTATCATCCTGCAGCAGTTGAGGGGGTTAGGAATAGGGGGCACCATTCTGCGGTGGTTCTCCTCCTTCCTTTCCGACCGCTCACAGTTTGTGTTGGCAGGGGGGCAGAGGTCGACCTCGAGGCATCTCACATGGGGAGTGCCACAAGGGTCGGTCCTCTCGCCCCTTCTGTTCAACATTTATGTGAAGCCGCTGGGTGAGATCATCCGTGGTTTTGGGGTGAAGTGTCATCTGTACGCTGATGATACTCAGCTGTACATCTCCACCCCAGACCACCCCAACGATGCCCTTGATGTGATGTCTCGCTGCCTGGAGGCTGTGCGGGTCTGGATGGGGAGGAACAGGCTCAGACTCAACCCGTCCAAGACCGAGTGGCTGTGGCTACCGGCATCCCGATATAGTCAGCAGGTGCCATCGCTGACTATTGGGGATGAATCTTTGCCCCCCACAGAGAGGGCTCGCAATCTGGGTGTCCTCCTGGATGCACGGCTGTCTTTAGAAGAGCATATGATGGCCATGGCCAGGGGGGCCTTTTATCAGGTTCGCCTGATTCGCCAGTTGCAGTCCTTTCTGGATCGGGATGCCTTGCGCACGGTCACTCACGCCCTTGTCACTTCCCGGCTGGACTATTGTAATGCTCTCTACATGGGGCTCCCCCTGAAGAGCACTTGGAGGCTCCAACTGGTCCAGAATGCGGCCGCGCAGGTAGTTATGGGCGCAACTCGTTGTGCCCGCATGACACCCCTCCTGCGCGAGCTGCACTGGCTCCCAGTGGTCTTCCAGGTGCGATTCAAGGTGTTGGTCACCACCTTTAAAGCGCTCCATGGCACAGGACCCGGGTACCTTCGAGACCGACTTCTGCCACCAATAGCCTCCCACCGGCCAGTTCGCTCCCACAGAGAGGGTCTCCTCCGGGTGCCATCAGCCAAGTTATGTAGGCTGGCGACACCCAGGGGAGGGCCTTCTCTGTGGGAGCCCCAGCCCTGTGGAATGAACTGCCCCCAGAAATGCATAAGATCTCCGACCTCCGGGTGTTCCGCTGCGCACTGAAGACCCTGTTGTTCCGCCAGGCTGGGCTATCAACATAATAATTTTAAGTTGGGGTATTTTAAATTTGTGGGGTTTTAAATTGAGCCAAATTTATTTAATTATTTTAAATTTTTAATCGATGTTTTGTCTTGTGTTTTTAAATAGGCTGTACACCGCCCTGAGTCCTTTGGGAGAAGAGCGGTATAGAAATAAAATTATTATTATTATTATTATTATTATTATTATTATTATTATTATTATTATTATTATTTATATCTATGTGCCTGGATCTTTGGCCTATGGCATTCGCCCCGGATATTTCAATAGCTGCCTTGTTATCCTCGTGGATGATTATGGGGTAGGAAGGTTCGGCTCAGATGCTGGTGAGTAGGTCATCGAACCACGTCAGGTTATTGGCTGCCTTGGATAAGCATATGTACTCTGCCTCGGTGGTTGATGTGGCTACGAGATTTTGCTTGCCCATGTACCAATGTACAAGGCTGTTGTTGAGGAAGAACACATAACCTGAAGTGCTCTTCCTGCTCTTTACATCTCCTGCCCAATCGGCATCTGCATGGCAGGTGAGGATTGGTCCATCGAGTGCATCCGGCTCTAGGCATAGACACGTGTCTGCGCTGCACTTCAGGTATCTGAGTACCCTCTTGACTGCTTCCCAGTGGTATACAGTGGGTTTGCCCACGTGTCTGGATAGTAAGTTGACAGATAGGGTGATGTCGGGCCTGGTCCAATTGGCAATGTACAAAAGTGACCCTATGGTTGACCTGTAGAGTGTATTGTCCTTGAATTCAGGTGCTTCGCCGTACATGTTCTTTACAAAGTCTGGTTGCATGAGGGTTTCACTTTGTTTGGCATCTGCCATGTTACACTTGTGTAGGAGTTCAATGATTTTTTTCCTTTTGAGACAAGCGAAACCCCTTGGGTGTTTCGTTGATTTGTACACCCAGATATTTGTTTATCTTCCCTAGAGACTTTAGCGAGAAATGTTCACCTAGCTTGCTAGCGAAGGAGTTACATTTTTCTTTGTATTTGCCAATGTATAGTATATCATCCATGTAGATGAGCACGTATTCTAGGGAACCGCCAACTTTTCTGACGAAGAAGCAGTTGTCTGCTGGAGTTGCAGTGAAACCCATTGTTTCGAGCACCTTAACCAGGCACTCATACCACCGTTTCCCAGACTGCTTCAACCCGTACAAGCTCTTGTTGAGTAGCCATGTGTCACTCTTGCGTGTGTCCCTGCTGTGTGGTGCCTTAACGTAGATCTCTTTGTCCAGTTTGGCATGCAGGTATGCAGTCTGCACATCGAACTGATGTACTTCCAGACCTAGGATGGACACAATTACTAATGCACTTTTAACGCTCTCTGCCCTCACGGTAGGTGAGTAGGTCTCGGTATAGTCCTCCGGGTATTTTTGGGCAAATCCTTGAGCCACCAACCGGGCCTTGTACAGTGTCTTGCCACCTTCTAGCGTTTTGATCTTAAAGATCCATCTGGTTCCTATTGGGGACTTATCTTCGGGACTTTGGCAGGTGTGAACACATGTAACTCTTTGAGACTGCTCATTTCTTTTTCCATGGCTGACTCCCATTTTAATTTTTCTTCCTGGGTGAGTTTGAGCACCTCCTCGTACGAGTTTGGGGTGATTGGGTTGGCGTGTATGTGGAATACATAGTCCTCAAGCCTTTTGGGCAACTGGTTCCTGCTTGCCCTAACCGGTCTGTTTGGGCTCGATTCGGTGTCGTGTAAGTATCTTGCTTCTCTCTGTGTGAGTGTGTCTATCTTTATCTTGGAGTGTTCTCCCTTCTATTCGCTAATCTTTACTTTCTGGTGAATGGGTTTGGGTCTCCTTTCTCTCTCGCTATCTATTGTGGTTTCTTTGGCCTGTTCCTGCGTATTCTGATTTATCTCCTGTCTGAGGAGTATTTTGTTGAGGTGTATTTTGGACCAGTTCGCTTGTTCATGGAACACAGCTGTCCTAGACACAATGAACCTGTTGTTGCTCTCTACAAACCTGAATCCCTTGGTGCCTGGTTCGTAACCCATAAATCTAAGCCTTCTGGATACCTTGTCCTCCTTGTGGCATAGTTGTTTTGGTGTACATCAGCCGTTACTCCAAACACATGTAGGTGTCCTATTTGTGGCTTCCTATTGTACATCAACTCGTACGGGGTTTTGTCAATCACGCTAGACCATAGTCTGTTTAGTGTGTAGTTGGAGTACACTAAGGCCTCTGACCAAAAATGTTGGCCAATTCCCGCATCTTCTAATGCGCACCTAAACATGGTTTATAGGGTGGAAATCCTTCATTCTACCACTCCATTCTGGAAGGCTGAAAACGGTGAGGATGTGTAGTGCAGTATCCCCTTAGACTTGAGCCAGTGTGTGAAATCCCTCGAGAGGAACTCTGACTCCGTCGGTCATTATTTGTTTTATCTGAGTGTTATGTTGGACTTCTACCCTCTTGTAGAACTCTTTAAATTTCTGATACACTTTGCTTTTGTGGTTTAGTGTGTACACGAAACTGTAGCGACTGTAGTTGTCCACGATGGTGAGGAAGTACCTTTTCTTGTATTTTATGGATGGCCTTAGGGGCCCCACTAAGTCCATGTGTACTAGGTTAAAAATGTGACTGGTGGTGCGTGTTGTCTTCTTGGGCCTAGGTTTGGTTTTTAACTTTGAGCATTTATAGACCGAACACTCGAGATAATTTTCACAGTCCTTTACTTTGATACCTTCAGTACATTTGGTCATTTTTTGAATAATAGGGAAGCTAACGTGCTCCAACTTTCGGTGTAACAGGTGGGCACAACCATCATGGATGGGCTTGCCTATATTAGGTTTCCTCTGACTGTGTGGGTTGTGTTCATGTGTGTTGGCAACCCTATTTCCCTGGCCCCCTTCATCTAGCTGTCGGTTTTGCCTTCTTCTGGTTCAGTGTTTGTCTCATCTATCTCTATCCCCATGTTGGCGTTTATACTATGTACGTTGTTGCTCTCGGTATGTAGGTATGGTAGCCCTCCTCTAACTATTACCTCTCCTATGTCCTTCCTGTTCCTATTCATGAGGACCCTTCCTCCCTTGAAGGTTACCTCTATCCCTGATTCTTTGCTGAGCTTCAGTGCAGCTAGAATGTTGTGAGGTATCTCTGGGACCAGCAATACCCCCTCTATTTTTCCTATCCCTGGTAGGTAAGCGTTTCCCTTCCCTGTTACCCAGACATCACTCTGGTTGGCTACCTTGACTAGGAAATCCTCTTCTGTGAATGAAGAGAGTAGTTGCCTGTTATATGTGGTGTGATTGGTGGCTCCTGAATCTATAAGCCACATGGAGTCCTCCCTGTCTTGATGTGTCATTAGGGTGTGTTTCCCTATCCCATATAGTGACCCTGTTCGGCTGTCTCTGGAACTGTCCCTGTTTCCCCTTCTATCCCTTGGATTGGGAGAGTCCCTACGCCTATATCTATTGTCTGTTGATTGTCTCTCCGGATGTCTGGCCCTGTGCTCATGCCTGTCCCTTTCCCTGAAGTTTCTGGGGCAGTCCCTTTTGTAGTGGCTTCTGGACCCACAATTGTAGCATTCTGCTGTGTCCTGTTGCCTGTCCTGAAAGTCTACTTTCTTTATGGGCCTGTGCTCTCTGCGTGACATGGGGTGACTCTTCCTCAGGTTATTTTCCGCTATCAACCTATTGGTTAGGCTGTCAATGGATAGGTGCCCCAGGTTCAGTGAATCTAAGTGTGTGATAAAGTTATGCCAGGTGGGGTCTAAGGAATTAACTATCACACTCTTCATGGTCTGATCTGACACAATTTCCCCTCTTAGGTGTAACTCAGCCCTGGTAGCATTTAACCCTAGCAGGTGTTTGCTCATAGAAGCCCCTGGCCTAATTCTAGCAGAATAGAATTCTTTAGAAATCCTGGTTGTGGTTGCCACACTCTCACTATAGAAAAGCCCAAACATTTTTTGCATTAATTCTGATACCGTTAAGTAGTATTTGATACTGGGGTATACGGTGGGGGAAATACTGGAGATTAGTAGGCAAAAAGCCTTGTGGTGTAGGCAGCCCAGTTCAAAAGTCCATGGCCTTTCTGGGGGGTTAGTAATAAAGAACAATATATTTTCCCTCAAAAAAAACAACCTGGAGCTGTTGGCTCCACCCCAGGAGGTTAGACCCATCCATTTTTAACTTTGGGAAATCATTTGGCAAATTCCCTGTATTATTTGTTAAGTTACTTACAGCAGGTGGCTCTCCATGGTTCTGAATGTGCATATAGCCACAATACGGCATGGGGATACTTGCTGGGAGTTTAAAAGGTCCTCTCTGCACTTTTTTTTCTCTTTCTTCTTCTAGGTGGAATTGTGCATGCTCGAAGTCCATTTCAGCTCTGCAGTCGTCGGAGGAGGTTCTCGTTGCTGCAGCTCCTGCGTAGAGGTCTCTCTCAGTCGGGTAGGCCTCGGTTTCAACCTTGTATGTCCAGCGGTGAGTCGAAGGTGATCGGGTCGTTGCGATGTCGTCCGGACGAAGATCCAGTCTGCTCGGGTGGTCCTCCATCTGCGGTGAGTATCTGTTCCGGCCTCTGTGCTCCGGCGATCATGGCCTCTGCGATGGATGGTGTCACGTCCTTGGGGGTGCAGCAACGTCGGTGGGCTGGCATCGGCGTCCGCATCCCTTGCGTGGGTGGCTCAGCGCTTCCCCCCCTTCATCCCTTGTCCCCTTTTGCACTTTCGGTTTGTTCTTAGGGATTTTTAGATCTGAGCTGAAGGCGGCGGTGAGGGTCCTTATGGCCTGTTCGATCTGCTGCTCGGTTGGGGACGTTTCGTGGCCCGCGTCAGATCCCTCATCCTCATAGGGCTTGTCTTCCTCGCTGGTTTGGGGGGTGCATGCTTTTCACGCTGGCCATTTTGAATCTCGGCCTTCGATTGGTCGGTGGTCAGCCATCTTGGCGGGCTGCTCAGACAAAGATGGCTGCCATTCAAAATTTGGCGCGAGATCGGGTTCTTCGTTGTTGGTTAGGGTTTCAGCTGGGGGTGAGTTTCTTACCGAGCCGTGGTCATCAGGTCAGAACCTGATCGTGGTCTCCTCTTGCTGCTCCATGGTCCTGGATCAGGCTCTGGAGGTTCGCGATGAGGTCCTCATTGGCCGTAGGCAATCTCAGCAGTCTCAGTATGTCAAGTCGGAGTTTGTTGTTTCCTTGTGCGTCAGTTTCTTGGCTGATCTGGTCTCCGGTCCCCTTTCTGTTGTCCATCGTTGTGGATTCGGGGCCGGCCTTGGCATCAGATCTCTCTGGTGTTCCCACTGGGAGGTTGCCATGAGGGGACAACTATGCCGCCATCCTTTTGGTTTGTGCTCAGGTGTTTGGCTTCTTCTTTTCTTCGGATGTGATTGTCCTTCTGGCATATCTTCTCATTATTGGGTCATTAAACCATCCTCTGCTACCATTTTGTTACTAATCTCAAGGATCGGACCCAATAACAGACATAGACTCATTAATATTTAATCAGGTAGCCTTTTATTAACATTGATCTTCTCATTACAGCAATCATCAGCAAAAACATTTGGAGCAGCATGGAGCAACCTTAAGTACCTGGGAGGCGGAGTCTGAGGTAAGGAGTGGTCTAGGGAGGAGGTGGATGTATGGATTGTGTAGATTAACCCTTGCAGTCCTAAGCCATGTTTACCTGCTTGTGTGGGTGAGGCATTTACACGTGACACTTAAACTGTCTACTGTTGACCTCACCCCATTCCTAAGAGGTCTGTAAGGGGCATAGTGTCCTACCGTCCCTGTCCTAATATTCCTTTTTACTCTTACTCTTTTCATGTATTCAAATTATGTTTATACTTTTACCTGTTATCTTATATATGCTTAACAAATAAATAAATAAAATAAATAAAATATTAATTATTCAATAAAGATACGCTTGGTGGATTCATTTTTTGTTAAAGTTTTACTTACTTGGTTGAAACTTTAATGTGTATCCCAGCAGAACTCCATTTGGATGAGAAGGTGGTCCCCATTCCAAAGTAAGAGAGTCCAGATTTTGATTGGTAATCTTTAAAAAAGAGGGTGCACTGGGAACTTTAAAACACACACACACAAACACCACACACACACATCACAACATAAAGTTAATTTTAATAAAACTCAAATATTATATAAAATATTTTAAATGTTCCTTTTAAATTATCATCACATTTTATTTAATACAATACCAAGGTTACATGTGGATTTTCTAAAATTAGGATGCAGTTTCTGGAACTCTTTGGAAAGTTACTCATTACTGCTAATATGTGCCTGAATTCTGCAGATATGTTGTTATGCTGTCAAAATCAACTAATAATGCTTTATTTGTTATATGACTAACTTTACTGTTAATTTCTCCCTTCATATTTCCATTCCTTAGTACATCAGATATTACATGTGACAGACATGAATATACTCTTTGTCTAATATGCCTTAGCACTACTCATATGCTGCCCCAGTACAACTTCAATAATGTAGCTGTTATCTGTAAAAACTTACATACCACTTTCCCATAGATTAATTTTATCTATATTTGCTTATGTTTCATTGTCTTCCAAATAAGTATGTTAAAAATCAGAAACATTTATTATTTTAAATAATCATTTAATAATAATGAAAATGGCCTGGTAATACTTAACTCACAACGTGAAACATAAATATCTGAGTTATTAAATTACGTACCTCCTTCTGGAGTCTTAAATGTTTCATCTTGGCTTGCTGGTCCTTCTCCTTTCCCATTAAACACTCTTACATTCAGTTTATAAGAACTAAAAGGCTCTAGTCCCGGCACCATTCCATGCGTTCTATTTCCACTGAAAGTCAACATCCTTTTTTCCACATGTTGCTTAATTTTTCCAGATAAATATTTGACTTTCCAATAGTAAATCTAAATATATGTGCATGGATATTTTAAACGTTAATTTATGATGTTCTCAGACTGCATTATATTATACAGCCCAAATGAATTTTGAGACAAGCAATTTAGTGTGCTAAATAATAAACAATAATATTTTTTTAAAAAGCATTTAAAATAACTTAGTTAAAGGAAATCCATTGATTTCTTCTCTAGCGATGACTATCCAGTTGAGTGAGTTTAAATTATCAGTGCAAAGGCATATCAAATCCTTAACATATGTAATATATTAGCACATTAGACTATCAGTATTTGAAGCAGATAAACTGCCTTCAAATCTGTACTAAGATATGGAAGTTATTATCTGACTCTGATTTAGATAGTTCTTAGCATAGTCTATTTCATACAGTTGTGAACAATTAGAGATAGATTATTATAGGATTCTTTAGAAAATGGCTAGTATAATTTAAATACATAAACATGATATAAGTTTTACTGATTTTGTATATACACATTCAACCAGTGGTGGGATTCAAGTAATTTAACAACCGGTTCTCTGCCCTAATGATTTCTTCCAACAACCAGTTTGCCAAACTGTTCAGAAAGTTAACAACCGGTTCTCCCGAAGTGGTACAAACTGGCTGAATGCCACCACTGCATTCAACCCAAGACTAAATACTGGTATGACAGAATAAAAAAAGTATGTTACACATGTTACAAGGAACACTTAAGTGTAAATAATAACAGTAGTTAGACTAAAAACTGTTTCTGACAAACATCAAATAGCCATTCTTATAGACCAAGAAACACAAAATAGTAGTTACTCTGGTCTAGGATCTCAAGAAGTAAAATAAACAAATAAGGAAAACTCACACTCAAATACATTTGTGGATATTTTTATACTAAATGCTGTTTAAGAAATATCTATGGTTAACTTACTTTGTATCCCTGAAGATGACCCCGGACAAACTTCAATGGAACTGGATCCCACTGCACTTTCACTATCGTACTGTTTACAACTTGTACTTGTAAATTGCCTGGAGCAATCATTGGCACTGACAAGGACAAATGCAACAAATCCAAGTTTAGAACCACTTGCATGTGTTTATAAGGCACCATGTTTTCCCGAAAATAAGACCCAGTCTTATTTTCTTTTGGGCCCCGAAATAAGCACTCGGGCTTATTTGCGGGGAGGTCTCACTTTTTTGACATGCAGGAGGCGGCGAATGTGGGGGCTGATGGGAGTAGAAGTGCCGCTACCCCTGGCCCCACCCTCTGTTCCATCTACTTGCCTGCAGCCGCAATGAACCAAACTCTCAGCATGCCCCGGCCTCTGCCCTACCCTGCCTGCTGGCCCTGCTGCTGCTGCTGGTCTTGTCGTGCAGAATGCTGTGCAGCTCATTGCGCCAGTGGAGTCACTCGCAGCAGGATGCTGTCAGGCTTGGGATGCCAGTGGAGCCACTCCTGCCCTGAGTGGCTCCACTGGTGCAATAAGCCTCACGGCATCCTGACGAGAGCGACTCCACCGGCACAATGAGACTTGCGGCGCCTGGCCATAAGCAGCCCCAGTGGCTGCAGAAGAAGTTGGGCAGCAGTGCAACAGATGTTGGGGCATTGGAGGTTTGGCTGTGGTGATCCTAAGGTAAGTGGGTGCGAGGCATGTGGGGCAGCTCCACCCCCCAACCTAGATTGATTTTTACACTTGTGCCTCGCCCTACCTCGTACAACCAGATGGTGGGTGGGGCTTAACTAGGCCTTATTTTTGTGGTAGGGCTTATTATATGCAGGCATGAAAATCGGGCTAGGGCTTGTTTTGGGGGTAGGTCGTATTTTCGAGGAAACACCATACTTTGAATTTCATAAATGTAGAAAATTAATTTTGAATTCTATATTTGTACCACGATACTCAGAAAAGTCAGCTAAAGCAAAAATTATACTAAAAAGTAAGAAACTTACAGTCTTCTCCAGAATGTCCAATTATTGTTAAAGGATCAGGTGCAGGTCCTAAGTCATTTAATGCTTGTACTTTTATCTCATATGGAACAAAAGTTGGTGTATCAGCTACAATATATTTAGATACATTTGCAACTGTAACAGATGTCCATTCATCTTCACCATCATTCTGCTGCCAACTGACTTTGTAGTGAAGACCTGGACCATTGGACTGAAAATCCGTTAAAGGCTAAAATGAAAAATAACAAAGGTATGATTTTTAATTAGCCATATAAAAGAGGATGAAGATAATATAAGGTTAATGGTTTTGTTCTAATGATTGCTAGAAAGTGGTGATTTAACCAGAATTTTTTTCATATTCACGTGTGGCATACAGGTTAAGGATTCCTACTAATTTAATGACTCTTTTCCTTGTTCTAAAATAAAATCTCAAGTGGTGCTCACAGGTGGCAACAGTAGGCAAAATCCCCTCTGTCATCCAGTCTAAAAAATATGCTATTAAAAGAAATGGGACTGGAAAGGACTAAAAAAGAAGAGAGGGAAAATGACAAACTAAAAAATCACTTCCTTCTATAATCTTGTACTTCATGGGTCGCATAATGAAAATAGAAGTACCCTAACTGAACAATCTATTTCTGATACAGTTGCATTGTGGAATGACAAGAAATCATATTGCTTATGCATCTATTGCTTATATACCGTATTTTTCGGACTATAAGACACACCAGTGTATAAGATGCACCAAGATTTCGAAGACGTAAGCAAGAAAAAAAAAAGGGTTTGCCCTCCCCGACCCCCAGGAGCACTCTGCAGGCCTCCCAAACCTTCTGTACACCGTGTTTTTGCAAAAAGTGGGCCCGTTTTTTGCAAAAATGGGGGCATTTTTGCCCTCCCCAGACCCCAGGAGCACTCTGCAGGCCTCCCAAACCCTCTGTGCACCCCATTTTTGTGAAAAACGGTCCTGTTTTTTGCAAAAATGGGGGTGTTTTGGCCCTCCCCAGCCCACAGGAGCACTCTGCAGGAATTCCAAAGCCTCTGTGTGCCCTGTTTCTGCGAAAAATGGGCCCATTTTTCGCAGAAAAACGGGACAAGCAGGGCAGGGCTTTGGGAGACCAAATATGGTTGTATTTGGTGTATAAGACACCAACATTTCCACTCTCGTTTAGGGACGGGAAAAGTGCATCTTCTACTCTGAAAAGTACGGTACATCATATAAGCTGTAACTTACTCATGGGTGCCAACAATAAAGTTGGTCCTTTGTTTTAGCATTATCACTTGAAATTAGTTATGGAACCACACTAATTTCAAGTCCCATATTTGGTCCTAACTGTATACTACTTTGCTTTATAGCAAATTATATAGCAGTGTCATCAGATAATTCAAGTAGCACAGGTTGAATGATATTAATGGCATTTCAATGGGTTTTTTTTTTAATACAACAGCAAGTCAATCTTTAAAAATGTTTTGCTGTTTTTCTGAGCTTTTTGCTACACATTTGGGAAAAGTGAATACTAGTCATACTGTCTTCAGTATTTTATTTTTTCAAAAAGCTTACCTTCCAAGTGATCACCAAATTATTAGGTTCCGTTCCAATCCCGTGAACATTAATAGGATTGTCATCTGGTTCTAAAAATTTAATTTTTTATATTTAAGTAAAATATAGACCACTATAGTTGAATGTTATTTATATACTAAGTAGATAGAGATGTTTATTTACTTGCAGGTTTTGTAAAGTACTTTTCAGAAGATTCACTTGGTTGGCTCCTTCCAATTTCATTGAGAGCTATTACACGAAATGAATAATTCACATATGGTGATAACTTTAACTTTACAGTTGTAAACACACTAGGGACTTCCATTTGGTAATTCCATATTCCTGGTTCACGCAAAGCATCTTCATATTCAATAATATACCCTGTAAATAAAGTTAAATTTTGCTTTATAAAGCCTTATTTTCTTCTCATATGATTAGCCAAATACATATTTTTTGAGAAGAGTGTTATTATATCAAGAGCGTTGTAAATGCTTGAAAATTGAAGATTCTGAAGGTCAAATTTTACTTGAAAGCAATCAGACTTTGCAGGATTGGAACTTGACATGTATTATAATAAAAGCATGGCACAATATTTCTGAACAACGTTAAGTGGAAAACTGAATCAAAGAAGTAACATCTCATGTATTTTGATACAGAAAAATAGAGGATACTGCTACTGAATAGGTAGTTTATATTAATAAGTAATAAAAAACAGGTCATTTACATTACTATTTTGCACCACAGTTCAGTGTTTATGCAGAGGCACTTTACAGAAGCCTATTTTAACACAGTCATTTAAATGAAAACAATCAAATAAATGCTGTTTATTGCAAAATAGAATGCTAAATGATTTCCCAAATAAATAGAACAATCATACTTGTAATGGGGCTATTGTTTTCATTGCCCGGTATCCAAGTGAGTTGAGCACTTCTTTCTAAATGATCTGTTAATTCCAAATCATAAGGTGGATCAGGATGATCTGAAAAGGGAATTAAACAACTGTTTTATATTCTAGGAAAAATTCTGAACAAGCTTGTTTACAATATGATTGTGTAACCACTGGCATGCAATTGCAATGAAAATGAACAACTGGCTTTGCTGGGAAACAACGCAGAACAAAGGCAGATTATTACATAAATTCTTGTAACAACATTTGTTTTGTATTACAAAGTAACAATATGACAACATTTTTGTCATGGTTCACCAGCAGTTTCAGTTTATGAGTTGTGATAATGATCATTATAGCACTATTTTGTGTAAAACAAACATTTCTTTACACTAAAAGAAAATAAAAATACATTCAATAACTACAAAAAAACTGTTTCAGAATTATATCTTTATTGGAGCCTCTATATTGGCATGTACTTATCTAGGCTCACACAGACTTGATGTTTTTAACTTAATGAGAAACAGGCTTTTTTTTTAACTCTTTCACAGTCAGAAATTGCTTTTTGCTTAAAGTGTGAAGGAGCCAGGAAATCCAATACAATATAAACATGGTGGTTTTTTAGAGAAGAAACAGGTCTAAGGCTGTGTCAGCACTGCCAATGAGTCTTTAAGACCCAACAGAAAAGGGGAAATATTATTTACATTCTTTGCCCTATCTAATTCTGATAAATAGTGACAACCTATCGTACAATTCAGGTCCAGGAAAGACAATAAGTTTTTAAAGTCATGAATTCCTTGTTAGATTTTTAAATATATATAATGTATGTATATATGAATGTTGTAAACGAAATTGTAAAGAAAATAAAGGATAGATGTTCCAGTTACTGTAAATGTTATTTAAGTATAAAAATGGTTGAATAAGAATGTCTTAGAAATTTAGAAAGAAAATACTGCCACTCATAATTACCTTCCAAACATGGGAAACTAAAGATTAATTAATTAAATAATACTTTAAAAGACAGATGCCCTAAAATTAAATTCAAGCCCTGGTGTCTTTATAAAAATGTATACTCTGATAGTTATGGAGAATATATCAGCAACCGATAAGGTGAAAAATTGTTTTCCTATCATATCCCACAGTCAAACTGACATATGGCACCTATAACAAAAATTACCCCAAACTAATTCTAAACTGGTAAAATCTTGCTCAAGAATTATGTGTCCATGACTAAAATGCTTAATGAATTTATAATAAAACTTTTGTTTCTTAATTAGGAGGAAATAGTTGCAAGAAGAATATATATTAAGTGTACAAATCTTAAAGAATAAAGAGGGCAATGAGGAATCCAGGTTTGGCATAGCTTAGTACATTTAATATAGCACCATATGTAGACTTAATTTTGGGCAGAAAAAATATCCATTTTTAAAATCTTACATTCAGTAGCAATAAACTACTAACAGCCCATAAAAAGGTTTATATATGCTGAAGATTATGTCACAGTGAAATTGGAAGTCATTTTTAAAAATAATATTAAACTATGCTTAACAAATGATAAAAAGCAGCTGAATGTTACACAGGTTTTAATAACTCGTTCAGGCAATTATGTGAGAAATTTATACTGAAGACTAGTTTGATTTAATTATAATAATGAAACAGTTTAGCATTTCAGTCATAAATAAAAATAGTAATATGATTCTCATCAGATTTAACATAAATATATAACCAAACAAAAATAAAAAGAGAAAGTCTGAAAAAAGCAGAAAGTTTAGGAAGGTTTGGTATATAATCCAAGCAAGACTTATTATTAGTTTACCGTAAACAATAGGTGGAACTGTTGGAGGAGCTGAAAAAAAGGATATTAATATAAACTATAAAACTTGTGTTAGTAGTCAGAATAAAACAACATTATTTATTATTAATATGACTTTCTATGTTATAAAATGTTATTATTTTATTTGCAAAAATGTGCATAATACGCACTGAATGAAAACAACAACAAAAGCCTCTTTTATCTGAGTCCTGAATAGCCCTGCAGACAATTGTCAGACTATAGGCTCATCATATTGAAAGGGTTCATTTAAGTCAGTGATGGCGAAGGAAGCATGCACATGTGGCACCAAGTGCTGAAAAGGGAGCACTTCGCGCGCACACTTGCACTTGTCAGGGCAGCGACCAGGAAGAGAAGCTGCCCAGGGGGCATGCACACGCCGGATAAGGTACTTCCGGTTTCCAGTGTGCGCATGCGAGCCGGCCAGTAAGCCTTCCAGTTATTGCCGCGCATGTGCATGCGACGATCAGCTGGCCAGCACACATGCTCACGCCGGAAAATGGAAGACCAGCTCTTCTGGTTTCCGGCACTGCAGCACACCCAAAGGCCAGCTGATCATTGCATGTGCATGTGTGCCAGAAACCCGGAAGAGGAATGGGCAACACCGTGCATGCCAGGCGACATGGCTCTGCGTGCCACTTTGGGTACCCGTGCCATAGGTTCACCATCACAGATTTAGGCTATGTAAGCCAATTGCCTGCACACTGCAGGAACTCTAAGCATTCTCGACAGAAGTCTGTCTAGCATTCATCCAAACACTGGCAAGGAAGTAGAGTTCAATATCTTTGGGTACTGGTCCCAGCATTGAAATGTTTTCACTGTTAAAAGGCTTTATTCCCCATTAACATTACTGGAATTAGCTTTTCTACTATGTAAATCTACAATTTGATAAGCATTGCCTTAACTTCAACCAGTTATTAATGAAAATATTGGCAAATTTGGTAAATTCTGAATATTTTAATCTCCTTCAGGATAATCCAACAATTGACAAATACTGAACCATAACAAATATTTCTTTAGAGCATACTAATAGTCCGGCTTCAGACCTGGGTACAGCACGGAAACGGCATTGGTCGCGTTGGTGGATGATCTCTGGAGGGCTCGGGATAGGGGTTACTCCTCTATCCTGGTACTGTTAGATCTCTCAGCGGCTTTTGATACCATCGATCATGGTATCATGTTGCGCCGGCTGGAGGGACTGGGAGTGGGGGGCACCGTTTTGCGGTGGTTCTCCTCCTATCTCTCCGACCGGTCGGAATCTGTGTTGACAGGGGGGCAGCGGTCGACCCCAAGGCGCCTTGTTTGTGGGGTGCCACAAGGGTCGGTCCTCTCACCCCTCCTGTTCAACATTTATGTGAAGCCGCTGGGTGAGATCATCCGTGGTTTTGGGGTGGAGTTCCATCAGTACGCTGATGATACTCAGCTGTACATCTCCACCCCAGACCATCCCAACGATGCCTTGGAAGTGATGTCCCAGTGCCTGGAGGCCGTGCGGGTCTGGATGGGGAGAAACAGGCTTCGACTCAACCCTTCCAAGACCGAGTGGCTGTGGCTGCCGACATCCCAGTATAGCCAGCTGGCACCATCGCTGGTTATTGGGGGCGAATCATTGGCCCCCACGGAAAGGGCCCGCAACTTGGGTGTCCTCCTGGATGCACGGCTATCTTTAGAAGAGCATATGACGGCCGTGGCCAGGGGGGCTTTTTATCAGGTTCGCCTGATATGCCAGTTGCGCCCCTTTCTGGATTGGGACTCCCTACGCACGGTCACTCAAGCACTCGTCACTTCTCGTCTGGACTATTGTAACGCTCTCTACATGGGGCTCCCCTTGGGGTACACCCGGAGGCTCCAACTGGTGCAGAATGTGGCCGCGCGGGGGATTATGGGAGTGACGGCGCGCTCCCATGTGACTCCTCTCCTGCGCAAGCTGCATTGGCTTCCAGTGGACTTCCGGGTGTGCTTCAAGGTGTTGGTGATCACCTTTAAAGTGCTCCATGGCTTAGGGCCGGGGTATTTACGGGACCGCCTTCTGCCACCAATTGCCTCCCACCGGCCAGTTCGCTCCCACAAAGAGGGCCTCTTCAGGGTGCCGTTGGCCAGACAATGTCAGCTGGCGACCCCCAGGGGGAGAGCCTTCTCTGTGGTGGCACCTACCCTCTGGTACAATCTACCCCCCCGAGATACAAGTGATATCCAACCTCCAGACTTTTCGTCGGGCCCTAAAAACTATTTTTTTTCAGTTAGCCGGGCTGTCCTGATTTTATGGTTGGTTTTAAAATTTGATATGGATTTTAATTGAAAAGTTTTAAATTACGGGCCAAATTTATTTAATTATTTTAAATCTATTTTTAACTTTTGTGTATAAATGTTTTTATCTTGGCTGTTCACCGCCCTGAGTCCGAAAGGAGAAGGGCGGTATAGAAATCTGAAAAATAAATAAATAAATAATATTTTGTTTCTCTCATTTTAATAACAGTATGTGCACTCCAAGCTCTTTTGAAATCTGTCATATAAGGCAATTAGGTATTTGTGTATTACTTCCCTGCTACTGAAAAACTGTACTTTTCCATTAAACCTCCAGATGCTATATAGAAGATCTTTCTACAAAAATACTTTCTAATTGGATATGGAGTTTTAAAACAAGATTAATTTAATTATGTTTACCTTACCAAATATAAATTCCAAGGAATTAAGATATTTTAAAATATTTTCCTATCAGACATAGGAAAAACAGGAAGCTAATTTATGAAATCACATTATAAACAAAGATACATGATAATTATAATGCATACAGAACCCTAAATATTAAGATTCTGGCATGGAAAGAAAATCTGTACAGAGAAAACTCAGAACTATATTTTCTCAGATCAGGTCCAAATGATGGATATTCTAAAAGCTACCATAGTTTCAGGCAAGTATATAAGAAATCATCCTGTCTTGTCTGGTTGTTTTTTTATAACACTTTGGGTTCAAACCTAAGATAGCATTATAGTAGCAACTGAAAAATTATTTTGGTTGAATTTATAGGATCAAAATATATTCTTACTTTTAGTATATTCCAAAACTGTAATATCAGAATAGCTTAAAACCAGTTAATATTTTCACAAAAAGATAACAGATTTGCTTTTGCTTTAATTCTACATTATGAGATATCTTACCCACAACTGTGAGTACAGCATTTGCAGAAACACTATCCAATGTAGTATTAGCTAGGCAAGTATATTCTCCACCATCCTTATCAGTGACATTCATAATGGTCAAGCTGTATTTACCTACAATAAACCTGTAATTACAATACATTTAATTATTCCATTGCAAACAGTTCTAAATACATAATTTATTAGTTGTAGTAAATAACAATAGCATCTTAATACAGATGTACTTGTTACTTGACAGCAGTTCAAGAAGGGATCCAAAGGAGAAACCAAATTGGACGGCTAGAGTCCATTACAAAAAATGAAAGAAGATACAGTGGAATTATGGGATCAGTTAGAACAATGGCAGAACAACAATATGTGAATAATTTTATTTATTACAATGATTTGTTGGCCATTTAATAACTTTCTGATGAATTTAGAATGAGAAGTTTAAATATTGCAAAATAAATTCACCACAAGTGTATGTTGAAATACGCATTCCACAGACATTGCTCAAAGCACTAATGACATGCATTATGGACAAATAACAGAGGCATCTGCTGGGGTTGTGCGTCAAAACAAAGAAATTAAGAGAGTAATGTAATACAAGCTCCACTCCTTTTGTATGTGTGTCATCATATCATACACGTGTATGAAATAAGTGAAATTTGCATCCTAGTGGAATGATGCTGCTTTTATCATTTTGATGAAAGCATCAGAACCTGTTATTATTTTAGTAACATTAGTTTAGTGTAATGTGTTAATCATTACATCATTCTGGTTTTCTTTTCTCTTTGCAGCTGAAGTATGATCCTAGGAAAAGATACTTGGTGACTATATCAAAAGATGCAGTATGACGTTACACAGAGAGGTTACCTATATTGAATCTTATTATAGCATACATGCCTGGTGGAGAGAAATCATAATTGGTGCATTGCAGAAATCATTATCTTAAAAAAATAGTAATATTTTATCTGCAGCAGGATATACTATTAAATTATATCTGGAAATCTGTATTAAATCCCCTTGTTGGTGTTTTATTAACTTGCAAAAAAGTGGGGCTCGGGTTAGGAATACATACCGTCCATCATCTGGCAATTCATCATTTTCCTTCAACCATATAACTGTAGGTATTAATGTTGCATCATATTTAATTACACATTCAAAGAAAACCTGCTCCATCCTTTGTACTACTTTGTATTCAGGCTGCTTAATAATCAATGTGGGTTCTGAAACATAAAATAATTACTATGATACTTACAAGTTACAAATTGGCAAACAGTTAGGAGGCTTTTATTTCAGAGCCAGGGTTTCTTACCCTTGATTTCTAACTGAACATTATTTTGTGCTTTTCCTAGTTTATTTCTTGCTATGCAGGTGTATGTGCCACTGCTGTCCTTCTGGACTTTCAGAATTTCCAAGGTCCCATTTTTATGGAAAACATACTCCTTGCCCTGGAGAACGCTACTTTTCATTCCTTGAAACCTATGTATTGGAAAGAGATTATCCAAATTATGCATTAATTTAAACTTTATTTGGAGGCAAGATGTCTACTGCATCCCTAAACCCCAATAGAGATGTAATAATATTTGATAAACTGTAGAAAGATGATTATATACATACACAACAAAAAAAAGACCCAACTCACACAAAATGTTAAATAAATGATTGGATTGCCTATTTTTTTTTTAATATAATGTCCCCAATAAATTTTGGGACTACAGCATATCACACAAGGCTAACATTTTCATTCTCTCCACTCCATGCTCTGAAATTGCTGTGTAGGCGATTCTATTGATGAGAGCACTTGGTAGGGGAATTGCTTACCCCATGTAATCCGAAACCTAATTGACTCCTTTCTTGCTGGCAGTTATTTAAAAGAAAATGATTAGAAAGTCATGGATGTAATTTGTCATCAGATGTTTGCTAAGTAGTGTAAGACTAATTATGTATAATATTGAAAATTAAATAAATTAATCAAGATTCCCTTCACATGAAATGGAAGACAAACAGCTGAAGTACACAAAAAGGTATAGATCTCTATTTAACTTTCCAGATTCCCACAATATTCATTAGTTTAATGTGCATTAAGCATTAATAACCCCCCCCCCCATTGTGAGCGACTTACCATTCAGCTTCAGGCATAGGTGAACCAAAAAAAGCACAATCTAGCAATGCAGGCTTATTTTCAATGACTTGATAAAGTTTATTGTATGGAGTAAGGATTCTTGGTGGTTCAGCTGAAAATAAAAATATCTTTTCAAATGGTGTGAATATTTTGAATGCATTTGTGTAGGAAAGTTTATATATCTAGCTTATTTATATAAGTGTATATGTCTAGCGTTGATGATGTTACCTACTTTGGGCAATTAAATGCCCCAATATCATGTAATAATAATGTTGCCATTATCATACCCTAAGTGAATTAAGTAGAACTCTCTGCTGTTACAGATATGTGACATTGGGAAAAAAGTCTTTCGTTCCAGTAAATGCAATATTTGAGGTCTCAATAATAAATTTATTATTATTTTTTAATTTTCCAAGACAGTTCTCTGCCTTATATCTGATGTAAAAAATTGAACAAGACTAGTAACCATCTAAGAACAAAATATTTAGGGATTGTTTTTAAGTCAGACATTCTTAACCCAGGGACCACCTGTAATCCAGTGTGGTATAGCAGATAAAGTAGCAGGCTAGAAATCAAAAGAATTTAAGTTCTAGTCCGACTTTAGGCACAAATCCAGTGGATGGCTTTGGGCCATATACTCTCAATTGTAGAAAGAGGGCAAGAGCAAACCACTTCCAAAAATGTTGCCAAGACAACTGCAGGGACTTGTGTAAGCAATCACCAGGGGTCAAGACTGATTTGAAGGCACACGTATCTTAAAAAGTTGAGTAATCCAAATAATTTTCTTATGCAAATTACATAGCACCTAGCCTAATGATCCCCCTAATAAAGATGGATAGGATTGCATATGATAGCTCAGTGGTTAAATGATGCTTAGCTTGTCAAATGAAAAGCTGATAGCTCATGTTCAAGACCCAAGTGCCACACAATAGGATGAGCTCCCATTATTTGCCCCAGCTTCTGCCCACCTAGCAGTTCAAAATCGTGAGACTAGATAAATAGGTACCACTTCAGTGGCAAGGTAACAGCATTTTGTGCACCTTGGCATATACACATGCTAGCCACGTGACCACAGAAATGTCTGTGGACAACTCTGACTCCCTCAGCTAAGAAGCACCATTCCTGAGAGTCAGATAGGGGAAATCTTTACTTTTATAGGGTCTAGCCTACTAATCTCCCTAATAAAGATGAATAGGATTGTATTAAGACTTTATTGGGGATGACATTTGATGCTGAGATATCAAATCTGACATTCATTATATGCTTTTTTTATTCATTAACTATACTGCTTTATGTATTTTAATGTAATTACATTTATATTAATATAGTAACATAACTGAGATGCTGAAAAGACAAGTCCAATAAATACTAGTTACCAATGAGTCAATATTGTAGCATGTACTGTCTACTAATGAGTAGTAAAGCACCATTATTATTGGATTTTTTTATTTTTAAAAAGCACCAACTGTCTTACCTAAAATATTCACAAATGCATTTGCTAATAGATATCCATATTCATTAGAGGCATTACACTGGTATACAGCACTTGATCTTTCTTGCACATTAGTGAAAATAATTGTATCACCATCAACTTTTCTACTTGAATCTTCAGGAGCAACTGTTAAAACACAGGATAGATTAAATTATTCAACACTGAAAAAATTGTTCTTGGATTGTAAGAAAATAATTTGAAGGAGGGTCAGAAATATTGTATAATATGTATATATACAATATTTCTGACCTTCCTTCAAATTATTTTCATATATATATGTATTTCTCTTTAGCCAGGTTCTTCCTACGTAAACCAAGATTTTTATGCAGCCCTAGTTCAGTGAAATCCCTATCCACTAGTTTCTAGGCTTAGAAAAAAAAAAAAAAAAAAAACACACACACACACGTTTTCGTAGATTTTCAAGGGTAGAGGTATGCAAGTTTGGGTGTATTTGGGTCTTTTCCCGTGTAAGATTGAGGATCTTGGCGACAGAGTGCATGACAGAGTGAAGGAATAAATGTGGAATATATATATATGTGTGTGTGTGTATATGTGTGTGTGTGTGTGTGTGTGTGTGTGTATATGTATGTATGTATATGTATATGTATTTGTATATATATATGTATATGCAAAAAATTAAAATCTCGGGTGTTTTCCCGCGTCATGTTAAATAAGTTAGTTAAAATGTTTAAAATTCTGGTTAAAATCCTAGCTCAAAATCTTCCAAAAATCCTTACAGAGCACTCTGCAAGGTCCTTTAAAACTTTAGCTAAAATCCTACCAGTATCTTAAAAGTTTTTCTTTCTAGCAACGTTTCGACAGGCTCACAACCCTGTCATCTTCAGGCTCTTGTTTAGTGTAGAAGCTATGGGTGTGTTGCGAGGTCGGAGCTGTCGCTTTTCTATGTTTGCTGCTGCTGACGTATGCTGGTTAGCCTGTAACTCTGTGTCCTGATTGGAGGACAGCAGTTTTTCTTCCTGCTTCCTCATCCTGGCTGTTTGGCTACGTGTTTGGCTACCAGGATTCAGAGTATCTTGGTGATGTTTCGACGAGGTCCCACTCGTCATCTTCAGGCTGGTGTCTCTGGCTTCGTGCCTGTGCGAGAAAAGCGTGATCGGAGCTGCTGTCTCTCTATAAATACTGGTGGGGAGGTGTGGAGTGCTGGCTTTGTTGCTGTGAGCGGGTTGGTTGCCTGTGTTGTTACATCTGTGATGTTGCCTGTTTCGTAACATCCTGTATGGGTGAGGTCCTTGATGTGTGCCCATTAGTCTTTTGTGTTTTAATGGCTGGATGTTAACATCCTGAATTCTAGTGTTGTGATATCCTGAATTTTTTGATGTAATGTCCTGAGCAGATGGCTGTGATGCCACATCCCGGGTCAGCACCCCACACCTCCTCACCAGTATTTATAGAGAGACGGCAGCTCCGATCACACTTTCCTCGCACAAGCACGAAGCCGAAGACACCAGCCTGAAGATGACGAGTGGGACCTCGTCGAAACATCACCAAGATACTCTGAATCCTGGTAGCCAAACACGTAGCCAAACAGCCAGGATGAGGAAGCAGGAAGAAAAACTGCTGTCCTCCAATTAGGACACAGAGTTACAGGCTAACCAGCATACGTCAGCAGCAGCAAACATAGAAAAGCGACAGCTCCGACCTCGCAACACACCCATAGCTTCTACACTAAACAAGAGTCTGAAGATGACAGGGTTGTGAGTCTGTCGAAACGTTGCTAGAAAGAAAAACTTTTAAGATACTGGTAGGATTTTAGCTAAAGTTTTAAAGGACCTTGCAGAGTGCTCTGTAAGGATTTTTGGAAGATTTTGAGCTAGGATTTTAACCAGAATTTTAAACATTTTAACTAACTTATTTAACATGACGCGGGAAAACACCCGAGATTTTAATTTTTTGCATATACATATACATATACATATACATATACATATACATATATATATACATATACATACATACATACATACACACACACATATACACACACACACACATATATATTCCACATTTATTCCTTCACTCTGTCATGCACCAATCTTATTCTAACTCAGAATTAGTTTAATAGTTTAATATTAGTAGTCCATATAATAATTATATCTCAAGCCAATGGCTCATTTGTATCAGCAAAGATGAACTCCACTAATGTTAATATGAACATTCCTGCAAGCTAGCTTTTGATTTTATATATAGGCTCGGTATTTCTTAATATTATTTGAGATGCATTTACAACTGGAGATGGAAATTACACTGGAATTTTCTTCATGCAAAAAATACACTACTCAGTTGTCATTTCTCTTCTCTTCTTCAACAGATTAAGAAGGCAGTTGTGCCACTATAAATATTTCTATAATTCCCAGCAGGAAGATCAGTAGTGAAGAAAGCTGGGAGCTATAGCAGCAGAGGTTCATAGGCTTACTTTTGGATTATATGCAAACAGAATAGGGTATTTTTTTCTCAAAAGATTAAAACATAACAAATGCTCCTAATATAATTAGGAAGGCAATTTTATACTCTTCCTCCCCATTTATTTTTGTTACTCTCAGTTCTGCTTCCCATCTTGTTTGGAACATCTTCAGTCTGCTTGGAATTCTTTTTAGGAGTGTACAATTAAGTATAAAAATAAGTGTAAAATCAATTGTACAATTAAATGTATAATCAGCTATATACCAATTGAGCATCCTAGTGGATAAAAAGCATGAATCATCATTTATAAAAATAAATACAGTATTAAAAATCTTCTTAAAGTGCTTCTCCACTATATGAGTTCAGCAATCTAGGGCTTTCTTATCCCTTTCCTCTAATTAATTGCTTCATATGAGATGCTGGCTCTCTCTTTGTGAGGTATAATTTGAAATGCTCTTTTCCAGAGTCCCTGAATCAATGTGCATAGCAACTTAATGGGAAAGAAAAAAATAAACTTCAGAAAGGGTTGAGTGGTAGCCTGGTTTAGCAACATCAAGGAACTACTATTTCACACTGAAGCACTTGATAGAATTGGTTTTAGATTCCTTTCTTCAACTTTTTAGCTAATGATCAGACTACTTTGCAGATTCAAAAGCTCTTACTTTGTAAGACAAAATATCATTCATTTCTTCTTAAATACATAAATGGTGAATTCATAATTTTCAATTTTAGATTTAATTGTTATTCTCTCTGTGTAATCTTTAGAGAATAATGTCCATTATTCTACTTACATTAAACTATACCATGGAAGCTCTACAAATGTGGGAAATGTTTTGCTCATTCTTAACAAAACTTTGACTACTTGTTCAAAAACTTATATTAACAAAACCACTAACATCAAGCAAGAATTTAACATGACATAAAAGTGAAAACAGCCCATACTTTCAACTGGAATTCCATTTGCTAACCAGCTTATGCTGGGTTTAGGATTGCCATTCGTTCTACAAATCAAGGAGCCATCTTCTCCGGGAGATAATACAAGGTTTGAAGGTTCTCTTATCCAATAAGGGGCAGCTGAGTTTTTTAAAAAAGAAGCAAAAACATTCAACAACTAGTTTTTGCAGTGGTAGCAGTATATTATGTTACATATATTAATATAATTAATGTCAAAACTCCAAATGTATACAGAACAAAAATGCATTTATTAAAAATAGAATAAATTGTTCGGTTAATAATCAAAAGTTTGGTAGCACTTTTTCAAACTAAGAAATTTTATTAAAGGTATAAACTTTCATTACCTACAGCTCACTTCAATCATCTTCATCTTCATTGTGATTCTAAAAAGATGCATAAATCATCTTTTTATACTAAGAGCTTTTACATTCAATAGTATATAAACTGTGTGGTAAACTCTTTTCCAATCTCTAAAAATCTTCTTATGTCAGAGGAATAGTGAGTTGAGAGACTGAAGAATGAGAAAAATAGCTAAAAATACAACTATGGATAGTTCTTGCTCAACATTCATTTCTTCGAGGACTGTTTGAAGTTAGTGTTGAATGAAGGGACGTATGATCTGGCCAAATTCTGGCCATTGCAGTGCTCTTGCAGTCACATGAATAAAATTTGAGCCCACTTGGGACCATCTGCATTTACAACTGCCATTTGCCTACCAGCTGCTACCAGCTGCCCCTGCTACCTGATCTTGCCCCTCACCACAGCTGTGCCTGCCACATTGTGTGCCACTACTGAACCAGCTGGGCCCTCTTTAGTGCCACTTTTTTCACACCAGTGCAGCTGGGGTTTTTCTCTGCCATGGCCATGATCTCTGTTTGCGTGCCAGCCAGCATCTTCATTTGCAGCTAGGACGAAAGAAGACAGCATGAAAGAAGGCTGTGTCAAGTATGTCGTAATATATCTTGCAGCAATTAGCAGGCAGCAGAGGCAGCTTGGTGGCAGTAGATTGGCAAGCAGCCAAATGGGGAGAGATGTGAGGCAGCTGCGGGGAATTCAAGAGGAAGCAGTCTTTACCTTACTAGGCTCAAGACTGGAAGGGACCAAGCCAGGAATGGCTTGGATTGGGGTGAATCCTTGTCTAACAAACAGAGGCATTACCACCATATTTTTAAAAAAATGTTTTAAACTTGACTTTGTTATTTTTATAAATAATTCAAGGTAGTAGACATACCTAATAGTCCTTCCTGCTCCTATTTTCCTCACAACAACCAAGTGACTTTGGCTGAGAGACAGTAACTGGCTCAAAGTCACCCAGCCAGCTTATGTACCCAAGGCACAACTAGAACTCACTGCCTCCGGATTTCTAGCCTAGTGCTGTAACCATGAAACTAAGCGCCTCTTTTTTTGTGTCTGTTATAAGATCCTGTTATTCAAAGTTTTGTGTAGCAAATTTCTGATCCTGCTCTCAAAGAATTCCTGATAATCAAGTTTAAGATGTACCCAGAAATGCCAAATCTAAGCAATTATTGGATTATCTGGTGAAGCCCTGACCAGTTTCCTTCCACCTCTGTTTTTTGTGATGTTTATGGCTGCTGACCTTCTTGCGCTGCAAGACTCTCCCCTCTCGCAGGCTTGGCCCTCTTCATTATCGAGGGCCTACCTTGATGACAGATTTTGGAATCCCAAGAGGTGGCATGTTGCGAGGAGGGGGTTGTGGGGTTTTTTGGGGAAGTTTTTAGATAAGATTTTAAAAGGTTCTGGGAGGGCGGTGGGTTGTGTGGGTTTGGGGGATAACCCACGGGGGGGCTGGGCCGGCGGGGAGTCATGGTATGGCAGGTGCAGGGCTCGGGGTCAAGGAGGGTGCTATAGCTCATACCTATGAGAGCTCTTCCATCAGTACTGTGGGTGGGAGGCGCAGATTTGGTGGGAGCAGGGGGCCATATCTGGTGGTGGGGGCGCGCACTCGCTGTCTTTGAGCGGTGATGTGCTCCGGCCCCCAATGCTCTTCCCGTTCCCCAGGTTGCATAGACCCTCAGGGCCCGGGCTTTCGGTTGATGTTATGCAACGCCAGGTCCGTGCCAAATAAAGCCCCCCTCATTTGTGATCTTGTTCAGGATGGGGGAGCGGACCTGGCGGGGATTACGGAGACCTGGTTGGGCCAAGAGGGGGGTCCCCCTCGTTGAAATGTGCCCACCAGGCTTCCATGCATTCCATCAACCGAGGTCCCAGGGTAGGAGCAGGGGCTGGTGGTTCTTGTAATGGAAGGACTTGCTCCAAGGGAGACCACTGTACCTCAGATAGCCGGATGCGAGTCCCTGTTTGTGAAGTGGGGTCATAGGGCACAGATGGGCCTGCTGATTGCATACCTGGCTCCCTGCCGCGTGACGGCGGCCCTGCCCAAACTGCTTAACATTATTGCCGAGGTGGCAGTTGATACCCCAGGCTCTTGGTCATGGGGGACTTCAACTTGCCATCCATCATGGAAACATCTGAGGCAGCTCGGGAGTTCATGGCCTCCATGACGGCCATGGACCTGACCCAGTTAGTTCATGGCCCTACTCACACGGGGGGGACACACCTTGGACTTGGTTTTTGTCTCTGGTCAGTGGAAGAATGATCTAGATATACGGGATATAGTTATTGAGCCCTTGTCATGGTCAGATCATTCTCTCCTCCGGCTTGACTTTCTAACCGTTACACCCCGCCGCAGGGAGGCGGAACCAATTAGGTGGTTCTGCCCCAGGCACCTGATGGATCCTGACAGGTTCCAGATGGAGCTTGGGCCATTCCCTGAGGCTCTGGCTCACGGCCCGACTGAAGACCTGGTGGCCGCCTAGGATAGGACGCCTGCTGGGGCTTTGGACCGTGTTGTGCCTTTGCGGCCTCTGACCTGGCGCCGAACTCACTTGGCTCCTTGGTTTTCCGAGGAGCTGAGGGAGATGAACCGCCAGAAAAGACGCCTGGAGAGCGGTTGGAAGGCCAGCCATTCCAAATTTGACCGGACACTGGTGAGGTCTCATATTAAGACCTACCTAGTGGCGATAAAAACAGCAAAATTTAATTATTTTTCCGCTCTTATTGCGTCTGCAGATAACCGCCCAGCCGCCCTGTTTACGGTGACCCGCTCCCTCCTCCATCTGGGAGTGCGGGAAGACCCCTTGCAGGGTCGAGCTGAGAATTTTGTGCAGTATCTGCATGACAAAATCACTCAAATTCGGGAAGGCTTGGACTCTGACTGGGTGGATCCAGACGGGATGATGGAGGCGGGTTTTGAGAATATTATCTGGGAGGAGTTTGACCCTGTGGCTCCCGAGGATGTGGACAGGATTCTGGGGAGGCTTAGCGTGGCCACATGTTTATTGGACCTGTGTCCCTCCTGGTTGGTGCTGGCTTCCCGGGAGGTTACATGAGGCTGGCTCCAGAGGATCATCAATGCTTCGTTGAGTGAGGGTTTCTTGCCTTCCGCCTTGAAAGAGGCGGTGGTGAGGCCCCTCCTCAAGAAGCCTTCTCTGGATCCGGCTGTTTTGGCAAATTACCATCCAGTCTCCAACCTTCACTTTGTGTAGAAGGTTGTTGAGAGTGTGGTTGCGCGACAGCTTCCCCAGCACCTGGATGACACTTTCTATCTAGACCCATTCCAGTCCGGTTTCAGGCCTGGCCTTGAAGTGATGTCCTGCTGCCTGGAGGCCATGCGGGTCTGGATGGGGAGAAACAGACTCTGACTCAACCCCTCCAAGACTGAGTGGCTGTGGCTCCTGGCATCCCGATATAGCCAGCTGGTGCCATCGCTGGCTATTGGGGGGGAGTCATTGGCCCCCACGGAGAGGTTCGCAACTTGGGTGTCCTCCTGGATGCGCGGCTGTCTTTAGAAGAGCATATGACGACCATGGGAAGGGAGGCTTTTTATCAGGTTTGCCTGATCCGCCAGTTGCATCCCTTTCTGGATTGGGACTCCCTGCGCACGTTCACTCATGCCCTCGTCACTTCCCGACTGGACTACTGCAATGCACTCTACATGGGGCTCCCCTTGAAGTGCATCCGGAGGCTCCAGCTGGTCCAAAATGCGGCCGTGCGGATGATTATGGGAGCGGTGGGGCGCTCCCATGTAACACCTCTTCTGCACGAGCTGCACTGGCTCCCAGTGGTCTTCCAGGTGTGATTCAAGGTGTTGATTAACATCTTTAAAGCGCTCCATGGCTTAGGACCTGGGTACTTACAGGACCGCCTTCTGCTACCGACAGCCTCCCACCGGCCAGTACGCTCCCACAGGGTGGGGCTCCTCGGGGTGCTGTCGGTCAGACAATGTCATCTGGCAACCCCCCAGGGGAGAGCCTTCTCAGTGGGGGCTCCTATCCTCTGGAACGAGCTGCCCCCAGAGGTATGGAGGATCCCGGACTTGCGCACCTTCCGCCGTGCCCTGAAGATTTTGTTATTCCAGCAAGCTGGGCTAGCCTAATTTTAATGGTTTTAAATTTTAAATTGGATTTTAATGGGATGCTTTTAATTGTGGGCCAAAGTATTTAATCTGGTTTTAAATTGTTTTTAACTTTCATATTTATGTATTTGATCTTGGCTGTTCACCACCCTGAGTCCTTCAGGAGAAGGGCAGTATATAAATATAACAAATAAATAAATGAATAAATGAATAAATGAATAAATAAATTAATTTAGAGGCCAGAAACAGCATGCAATTGTGATACTTCTATCATCCCTCGTGTGCTCTCCTTGCTGCACTGACATGTGGCAGTTTACAACTTTTACAAATCTTTTTATTTTCTTTTAACATTTCTTTCCTGTCATTGGTTCTATTATTTACTACTTCACCCATTGTAATATCATGGAATTAAAATGTAAACTTAGATGAAAGAAAAATATAACTGCAACCCTCAGGAACTGAAAAGTTGACTACAAATCAGATTCAAATAGATTACATTTTATATATTTGAAGGTCTTCCTTCTTCCCATGTTTATTATGAATTATCAAAAAGAATTATAAGACACTAAGAAAATAAAAAGTTTCTATGAAGTTCCAATTAATCATATGCAAATTGTCCACTTTTATTTTTATTAAAGGATGTATTTCTGATCTGGCATGAATGTGAATTCAAAAATGTTTACAGAATATACATGTTAACTTTTAAATGCTAAACAAGACAACAGTAATTTTACCTTTGACGCTGACTGTAATAACATGATAAGCAGAACCCAAATGATTTGTTGCCATACATTTGTATTTTCCTGAATCAGCTTGAGAAACATCTATAATTTTGAGGGTTTTATGAAAATTGTCAAAGAAAGTCCTGTTGACAGGAAGATCACCACCCTCTTTGTTCCAACGGATTAATGGTGTAGGTCTAATAAAAGAAAATATCATTAAAAACAGTTGAGATTACAATGTTTAAGTAAAGTACATTTAGGAGTGTTTATTAAACTAATTTAATAATGGTTTTAAATCCAGACATATAATCATTTATTCTATGTTTTGTAAAAGGTACTAAATACTTATTATATATATTTTTTTATCCAAGATGGTGCCGCTGAAGGCTGAACTCTTAAAAATATCACTGGCTAGAGCAAACCTCCTTCCCAGGCTGAAGGAAATCAACAACTGGCAGATAACCTGAACGTATTTTACTGCAGGTTTGAAAGGAAACTACAGCCACCTATCTCCAAAACCCCCATCTCAGACACACCAACAACAGCCAAGCCTCCTACAACTGACCCCATCCCATTGGGTTCACAACCCCTAGTGATCACAGAAAAGGACCTGCAAGACCTATTTCACAGACAAAAGCCAGGAAAAGCTCCAGGCCCAGACAAGGTAACTCCTTCTTATTTAAAAATCTGTGCTGACCAATTGGCCCCCATCTTCACCCGTATCTTAATAAATCACTAGAGATGTGCTATGTTCCTTCTTACTTCAAATGCTCTACTATCATCCCAGTGCCGAAGAAGCCCACCATCAAGGAACTGAATGGCTAGTTCAGTTAGACCAGTTGCTCTAACATCTGTAGTCATGAAAACCTTTGAAAGACTAGTGCTGTCCCACTTGAAAACCATCACGGATCTGCTGTTAGACCCCTTGCAATTTGCATACCGAGCAAATAGATCGACATATGATGCTGTTAATATGGCTCTGCACTACATCCTACAACATCTCAAATCTCCAAAGACCTATGCAAGGGTGCTCTTTGTAGACTTTAGTTCAGCATTCAATACTATCACTCCAGACACACTTCTAACTAAGCTAAACCAGTTACAGGTACCTGAATACACTTGTAAGTGGATCATAAGCTTCCTAACAAACAGCAGGTGAAGCTAAGCAGAATCGCATCAGATACCTGTACAATTAGCACAGCCCCCCCCCCAAAGGCTGGGTGCTCTCCCCACTTCTCTTCTCTCTATATCCCAATGATTGCATCTCTAATGATCCATCTGTTAAACTACTGAAGTTCGCAGATAACACAACAGTGATCAGTCTCATTTGAGACAATGATGAATCTGCATACAGACGGGAGGTTGAACAACTAGCCTCGTGGTGTGACTGGAACAATCTGGAATGGAACACACTCAAAACCGAACCACCCACCGCCATTGCTACCAGATCAGGCGATCCGGTCCGAACCAGGAGCATTTCACCCCTAACTACTATTAATCTTCTCATCTTCTCATCGTTCCCATCACCTATCTCCTCTCACATATGAATGTATGACTGTAACCTTGTTGCTGGTATCCTTACGATTTATATTGATATTGTTTCCTGATTGCTTATTTGTAACCTATGACTATCATTAATTGTTGTACCTTATTAGTCTTGATGAACATATCTTTTCTTTTATATACACTGAGAGCATATGCAACAAGACAAATTCCTTGTGTGTCCAATCACACTTGGCCAATAAAAATATTCTATTCTACTTATTATATAGTATTTAAATTTTATTGGCTCTATTGCCTATATATTATGTGTTATCTTAATTGGACAAGGCTGAAAGGCAGTACTGCCACTTGGTATAATTTGATCAAGTATAATAAATATAATGGTATGTGGGAAAAACCTTGGGAGAGAGATGCTGCCAGGGGAATGATCAGATAAAAGACAGTATAGCCCCCAGTTGTATAGTAGGTATCCCCAGCTTTATAATGGTATCATTATTCTTATTTTCCTTGATTAAAATGACAACTCACAATCCTTCTGCAATACATTCCAGCATGAGAGTTTTTCCTCTTAGTTCAATTTTGCTACTTGAATTTCCAGGAGGTGTTAGAAGAGTTGGCTGTCTTTCTGAATAAAATCTGACTAAAAAAAAAAAGAAATAAGATTATATATCATTTAAATGGAAACAAAATCTACACTAAAACTAATTCTTTGTATCCAGTGCAATGCATGCATGAATGTATTTATACATTCAGTTAATTATATAAAAATAAGTGTTTTACCTAGGGTTCTATACTTGTTCGATTACCTAATCATATTGGCAAGAGATAATTTTGACAGAGATAAAGGTTTTGCTTTTCCTATCGTTTTTTTTAAACTGCAAATTTGACCACAGATTGCAAAAGCAACTTTTCCTTGGAAAATTCATTGTTTAACTCTAGTATAAAAACTCTTAGGATAAATAAAACACAACAATGAAAATACTAGGCACTGAGTTATAATGATGGGTAAACTTTTCCATAGAAAATCTTTGATTTTGAATTATATATTAATTTTAATTGTTATACAATTTAATTTAATTATCTTGCATGTATATTCAAACTCTTGCTCTCATTAATGGAATTTTGAATAGTTATATGCAAAGAGGACATAAAGTCCTTATTTACAGTAGCTCAATCCAGCTTTAGTTCCTGTGGTGGAATGTAGTCTCGATTCCCAGGAAGGAGGGGCTGCACTCCATAAGCAAAGAGACAATGAAGCATGAAATATTTGGTTGGGAGGAAAACAGTAAGAGGGATGCTCCTGCCTAGCAATTTCCAGAGTATATCTATATTGAGGCAAGTAGTTTCTTAGTTTAGCATGATTTCTGTCTATAAGTAAGGAACAATAAAGGAAACTATTCAGAAATAACTTCATATGTATTTCTTGGTTCCTAAGAGGCTTGGCAGTTCCACAACTTCTCTTAAGATAATACTAGAACTGTAATTTGATATAATTTTATTTTTTAGGGATTACTAACATCTGCCCATACTTAGTTTCTTAACTTGGGGATTACTTTTAATAATGGAATAAAGGTATATCCAGGGAGAAAGATGCTATAAAAAATAGTATGTTCCAGAAATCCAGAATGAGCAGATTGCCCTGCCCTGTTTTTTGCATATGAGCTTTATGCATTCAAAGAAAATAAATTATCTACTGTTTTAAGGGGAAAGGGGAAATTATCAAGCACTGTATCTAACAAAAATTGCAAATCAGCCAGTACAAAAATGTTCTAATTTTAATGCTGTTTTATGAAAAAGTAGAAGACAAATAGTAGTCTACATGTTTCTATTCCTTAAGTAGTCATGGGCAAGGGCAACTGAAAAGGAAACAAATTGCATTTGAAGGTAAGTAAAGTGAAGTAAAGGGAGCCTATTATATCAGACAGACAGACAGACAGACAGACAGACAGACAGACAGACATGCATGTATGTGTGTGTGTGTAATATATCTATATATTTGCATCCATCCTATGGTCTAAATATAAGTTTAATTTGATTTTATCGGGTTTTTAAATTTTGTGTATTTATGTATTTTATTGTTGGCTGTTCACCGCCCTGAGTCCTTCGGGAGTAGGGCGGTATACAAATCAAATAAATAAAATAAAATAAATAATAAAAATATATTATACCTATATAAGCATAGCTTAATAAATTTATTAAAAAGCTGGTAGTATAATAGACATATTACAAGCTGGTTTGTCTTTTTATTCATTGCTTTTAAAAAAAAACTAAAGTGGATATTTATAGAAAGAATAATTATAATGAGAACCATAGCTTTCCACCTTCATAAAGGACTGAAATAAATAAACAAAATGTCACATTAGAATGAATAATTTTAAATATGTAGCAAATGCAAATTGTTAAGTAGTTTAACAATACATTTAGTAAGGTATTAAACAGAACAACTAGTTTTTCATTGCTTTTTAACAAATTAATTATTTAGAATAAGTATGCACTATTGTGTAGTTCCAGGAATAATGAATCATCAGAAAATAAAAAAATGAAAATAAATATTGTTAGGTTGATTCTTGGGTCAAAATGAAACATGTTATTCATGCAAATATTTTGTTGTTATTTCCTAATTATCTAAATTTAATAATATTATGTAAATTATTTAACATATCTCCAGTTCTAATGAGATCTAAATTAATGTAGTATGAGGAAATCAGCCATGAATTAATGTTAGTTGACTACATTCTATATGAATGGAATAATATTCATCTCTAAAACTCACCACCATAAAAATCAGTGTCACTCATATTAGCAGTTAATGTTTCATTCAATGAATCCACTGAAATAAATAGAATATCATGAAGAATGCAGCCAACAAAATTAAATGTGGGAGTCAGAAATTAATCCTGTTATCACTACACCAATACTTTTAACCTCAAGCACAAAGGAATTTGGAACACAATCAGTGACCCTTCTTAGTGTCCAACATGTATAGATATATTTTGATTTCTCATGCTCAAGATAGGAAATAGTCCTCTCTGGCTGAGGAGCATGTTTGATTCCTTCAGAGTTAGTTCCCCTATACAAGAAATTCCCAAATATTGAGGAAAATCCATCCGCCTCATCCAAGAAAGTTTCTCAAAGAGGTCAGGGTTGTAATTGGCACAAATATGAAATATAATTATTTAATCTTTCCAGGCTACAGAAGCTATAAGTTGCTCTTCTGATCTACAATTTGTTTTTTTTTTGATGTGATTATCACTTGAAACTTCACTTGCAAATAGGATCTGAATTGGTATCATACCTAAAAACTTATCAAACTGTTTTCAAATGAAACTTGAAATTTTGCTAAGCAATTACTTAATCCTACTGATGTCAAAAGTACTGAAACTATTTAAGAATAGCAACATATACTGTTATAGTTGTAATAACGATATATTGCAAATTATTTTGACTCCTTTCTAAATATTTCATTTTGATATGTTGCAAGAAGGCACAATTTTGCAAGAAAATGTTTTCTACTATACCAATATAAATTATATTTTGGCTAAATATAATGTCTACAAACCAATTTAGAAATTCATACCTACCTGGTTGAACTTTTAATGAAATAGGTTGCTTCTGTTGAATAGTTTGAGTGTGGTTAAATCTTGCATAACATATATAATCTTCACGGCTATCTTCTTGTATTATATTAGAAAAATAAAGATCTCCATTTAGGCTTTGTGAAACTCTATTATTTTGAGGCAGCTTTTGAAAAGCTATAAAAATAAGAAATGAAACATCTAGTGCCAGCTCACAATATAGAATTATTTTAAGCATATATGTAAATTACTAACATTTTCTTCTGGCAAGACACTTCTGTTCTATAGCCACAAAAAATCCAGTTCAACTTGAATTTTTAACTTTAAGAGACATTTTTTTAAACTGATATATTCCACAACAACTTCTATCACAATGGCAGTTTCAGAACTATGTTCCAGTTCATACTATGGTTTGTATAACTCAGGGATGTCAAACTCAAGGCCCGTGGGGCCACCCTGAAAAGAGCGAAGGATTGGCCCGCAGTGCCTCTGCCAGCGAAAATGGTTGCAGGAGGGTGTCCCAGCCAAAAACAGAGATTGGGAGCTTGTTTTCGCTGGCAGAGCGCTCGGGCCGCCATAGGCACCAACACGAGTGACATTAACCTGGCCACGCCCATCTTGGCCATGCCTACCCCAGCCCCCAAGGTCAAATACAACCCTCATGCGGCCTTCAATGAAAGCGAGTTGGACACCCCTGGTATAACTCATTCCACGCATGGGAGATATACTTTATTTGTTTCAGGATTTTTATTATGTATTCAAAATTGAAAATCTAATTACAATAGTTAAAGTGAGACAGAATGTTAAAAAGAAGTAAGACATTCTAATAAAGAATATTAATTCCAATAATATGACTACATTAAATCATGTTCAGCAACAGAAGTTATAAAAGAGATATCTAACTGTAGATAACCTATGAAAACATTCTCCACTAATCACTATTACTACAATCACTATTATGTGTATTAGACAAAATACACTATTAGACAAAAATAAAGATATGAAATGTATTTAAAACAGTATAAGCAAATATTTCTTGAAAATCTATTGTCTAAGTACCATTGCTAAGAAAAGAACCAATAATTTTTTAGTAATTGAGGGTGAAGGTTCATTCTCTAAACCAACCAAACTTGTGGGTTGGTTTCCAAACGTTTCATTACAAGGCTAGGTAACATCTTCAATGTAGTTTAGAGAGTGTCAAGTGTTTTTCTGTGTATAAGGGCTTCATGAGGTCAGTAGGTCTTGTGATGGGTCAGGTGTTGGTGTGCCATCTTCAAAAAAGGAAAAAAAAAAAACAGACCAGGAAACTACAGACCAATCAGCCTAACATCAAACCCAGGAAGATACTGGAAAAGATACTGGAAAAAATAAAAAAACAGATCTGCCAACACCTAGAAACGAGTAAAGTAATAACTAGCAGTTAGCATGGGTTTGTTAAAAATATATCATGCCAAACCAATCTTATTTCATTCTTCAACATAGTGACTAAATTAGTAGACTCAGCCTGTGATTCTCAAAACATCTTTGCACCTGCAGATTGGCTTACTCGACACTGGACTGAGGGGAGGGGTCTCTGTTTTAACCAAACGGAATTGCATGGGAATCTTCAGGTCCTGCTTTCTTTGTCTTGCTATCACTTGCCTCTCAATAAAAATTTCCTTTTGAAATACTAATCTTTTCAAGAGTTCTACTTTCTTTCTTTCTTTTTTTGAATTTTTTTTTATTTTTAAACAAAACATAAAACATAAATCCATCATCCATTACAATTGCAAACAGGGTGTCGGTCGGTTACAAGTCTTTTGTGCTTCATCCCCACATTCAAAGTCTACTAATTATCTAATTTCTCATATTGTCAAACAAATAAACATCCTCATTTATCATTTATTTAACTATGTTTATGTTTATGTTTTATGTTTTATTTGATTTGTATACCGCCCTACTCCCGAAGGACTCAGGGCAGTGAACAGCCACAAGATAAAAACACATAAGTACAAAATTTAAAAACAGGATAAAACCGAATTAAATAATTTGGCTGAAGACAGATTTAAAACACCCCAATAAATTAAAACCAATTTAAAATTTGTATTTTAAAAGGGGAAAAAAAGGGAAAAATTAGGCCAGGCCAGCCTGATAGAGTTTTAAGAGCGCGGCGGAAGGTGCATAGATCCGGGATCCTCCGTATCTCCAGGGGGAGCTCATTCCAGATAGTAGGTGCCCCCACAGAGAAGGCTCTCCCCCTGGGGGCCGCCAGTCGACATTGCTTGGCCGACGGCACTTGGAGGAGCCCCTCTCTATGAGAGCATACCGGCCGGTGGGAGGCTACTGGTGGCAGCAGGCGGTCTCGTAGATAACCAGGTCCTAAGCCATGGAGAGCTCTAAAGGTGGTAACCAAGACCTTGAAGCGCACACGGAAGACCATTGGGAGCCAGTGCAGCTCACGCAGGAGAGGTGTTACATGGGAACGCCATGTCGCTCCCATAACCACCCGCGTGGCTGCACTCTGCGCCAGTTGGAGCCTCCGGGTGCTCCTCAAGGGGAGCCCCATGTAGAGAGCGTTGCAGTAATTCAGGCGGGAAGTGATGAAGGCATGAGTGACCGTGCGTAACACGTCCCATCCAGACAAACTGGCGAATCAGGCGAACCTGATGAAAAATCCTCCCGGTCATGGCTGTCAGATGCTCTTCTAAAGACAGCCTGAATCCAGGAGGACGCCCAAGTTGCGAGCCTTCTCCATGGGGGCCAGCAATTCGCCCCCAATAGTCAGTGATGGCACCAACTGACTATATCGGGACGTCGGAAACCACAGCCACTCGGTCTTAGATGGATTGAGCCTGAGCCTATTTCTCCCCATCCAGATCCGCACAGCCTCCAGGCACTGGGACATCACTTCAAGGGCATCATTGGGGTGGTCTGGGGTGGAGATGTACAGCTGAGTATCGTCAGCGTACTGATGGTACTTCACCCCGAAACCACGGATGATCTCGCCCAGCCGCTTTACATAAATGTTGAACAGAAGGGGCGAGAGGACCGACCCTTGTGGCACCCCACATATGAGGCGCCTCGGGGTCAACCTCTGCCCCCCTGCCAACACAGACTGCAACCGGTCGGAGAGAAAGGAGGAGAACCACTGCAATACAGTGCACCCCCACCCCTAACTCTTTCAACGGGTGCAGCATGATACCATGGTTGATGGTATCAAAAGCCGCTGAGAGATCTAATAGGACCAGGAGAGAGGAGCAACCTCTGTCCCGAGCCCTCCAGAGATCATCAACCAACACGACCAATGCCGTTTCCATGCTGTCCCCAGGCCTGAAGCCCGACTGGAACGGATCCAGATACATCGTTTCATCTAGGTGCTGGGGGAGCTGTCGCACAACCACACTCTCAACAACCTTCACCACAAAGCGAAGATTGGAGACCGGACGATAATTAGACAACACTGCTGGGTCCAGGGAAGGCTTCTTGAGGAGAGGCCTCATCACCGCCTCTTTCAAGGTGGCGGGGAAGTCACCCTCACCCAATGAAGCATTTATAATCCCCTGGAGCCAGCCTCGCGTCACCTCCCGAGAAGCCAGCACTAACCAGGAGGGACATGGGTCCAACAAACATGTGGTCGTGTTCAGTCTACCCAGAATCCTGTCCATGTCGTCAGGAGTCACAGGATCAAACTCATCCCAGATAACATTCTCAAGACCTGCCTCCGTCATCCCCCCTGAAACTACCCAGTCGGAGTCCATACCTTCCTGAATCTGAGTGATTTTGTCATGCAGGTACTGTACAAAGTCCTCGGCTCTACCCCTCCAAGGGGTCCTCCCGCGCTCCCTGGTGGAGCAAGGAGCGGGTCACCCTAAATAGGCCGGGCGGTTCTCTGATGACGCAATAAGAGCAGCAAAATAATTACATTTTGCTGCTTTTATCGCCACTAGGTAATTCTTAATATGAGATCTTACCAGTGTCCGGTCAGATTCAGAAAGACTGACCCTCCAGCTACTCTCTAGGCATCTTTTCCGGCGTTTCATCTCCCTTAGCTCCTCAGTGAACCAAGGAGCCAGATGAGATCGGCCCCGGGTCAGAGGCCACAAAGGCATGACCCAATCCAGAGCTCCAGCGGCCGCCCTGTCCCAGGCGGCCACTAGGTCTCCAGTCGAGGCGTGAGCCAGAGCCTCAGAGAATGGCCCAAGCTCTATCTGGAACCTCTCGGGCTCCATCAGGCGCCTGGGGCAGAACCATATTACCGGCTCCGCCTCCCTGCGGCGAGGTGCAGCGGTTCGAAGGTCAAGGCGAATGAGAGAGTGATCTGACCATGACAAGGGCTCGGTGATTATATCCCCTATCTCAAGATCACTCAACCACTGTCCAGAGACAAAAACCAGGTCCAGCGTATTTCCCCCCATGTGGGAGGGCCATGAATTAGCTGGATCAGGTCCATAGCTGCCATGGAAACTATGAACTCCTGAGCCACCTCAGACGTCTCACCCACGGACGGCAGGTTGAAATCCCCCATGACCATGAGTCTAGGGGTGTCAACTGCCACCGCTGCGATAACGTTGAGGAGCTCGGGCAGGGCTGCTGCCACGTGGCAGAGAGCCAGGTACGTGATCAGCAAACCCATCTGTACCCCATGACCCCACTTCACAAGGAGGGGCTCACAGCCGGCGGTCTAAGGAACAGTGGCCTCCCTCGGTCTAAGACCTTCTTTAATAATAACCGCTACCCCCCCACCCCTCCCCTGTGACCTCGGCTGATGGAATGTGTGGAAACCTGGTGGGCACATTTCAACGAGGGGAACCCCCCCTCCTGGCCCAACCAGGTCTCTATAATACCTGCCAGGTCCGCTCCCCCCTCCTGAACAAGATCACAAATGAGGGGCTTTAACTATGGCTTTATCGCTTCATAAAAATTATTTTTGAGTATTATATTTATAACATTCATTTCATGTTTCATATTTCATTTCCATGTTTTATTATCTAGCCATAAAATAAATCCCGTATCTTATAATATTGTTTATCTTCTTGTTCTCTAATTTCCAATGTCAATTTACTCATTTCAGCACATTCCATGATTTTCTTAATAACTTCATCTTGCGTTGGTATTTTCTCATTTTTCCAGTTTTTAGCAAACACAATTCTAGCCGCTGTTAAAACGTTCACAATCAAATATCTCAATTCTCTATTATA